AACAATGGATGTATTTAACTTTAAAATTAATTTTGTTATGATCACCAATGAATTCGTTAGAATTACTTGATGCGTCTCTCTGTTGTAGATTCACTGAAGTAATTGGCCGGCTGTTAAGCGTTTCCTTAAAACCCCTGTTATCAACACACTGTGGGGAGTGTGCTATTCTTAGTTTTTAGGATAGGGAAGTGGTGAATAGCTCATTGTGTAAGTCAGCAATTAAAATCAATCTCGCTGAGTGAAGACAGGCCCCAGGTCAATTTCCTGTCAGTTTTATGACCCACGGTGTTTTCTTAGCTGGAGATGGAGGATCCCAGCTCTGCATGTTCATCCTCATGACCACTTAGGATTATTTATATAGAATCCCACATAGGGGACTAATTACGGCTGCCTCTCATATCAACATGTAGCCATAAAACGCCTCATTTATCTGATATGACTCCCACCGGTTACCTTATTTTGAGAATAGCTTGATGTAATGTATTTCTTAATGTATTTAAGCAAGCGCTATTTACGTTTTGCTTGTTTAAAAGTAAAACATGACAGAGTTTCTTCAATAATACATATTTTTTGTTCCTGTGTGACCTTTGCTCATCTAATTTCATAAGCTGCTATATGCACAGTTTTAATAGGGCCACTGTAGACCTCACATCTCCTACAGTGGGGCTAAATCGAGAATATCTGGAGTATTGTTAGGCAGCGTGTGCTTGTCCACAGCTACAGCAGCTCACAGCGGTAGTGCACCATCTGCCAGGTGTTGTATAATGCAGTATTTATGTGTCTGGCTGTCCTCTGGCCCACATGTGTATGACTCAAACTGAAATGTGTACTTAAGGTTTGTGTATTTGCTGACTTTATTTCACATTTTCTTGCCCTGTTCATAGCAAGAATTAGCTGTCATGAAGGGTTATCCTGAGACTCTCACGCAGAAATCAAGTTTGGGATGGGGTTTTTACAGACCTTTGCACGGATGAAAGTTCACACGGCTTCCATCCCCCCGTATCTGCAGCCATGTGTTCAGGAAATCAGTATCTTGGTAGTGATGAAGGCAAAGGCACGCAATCACCTTGTGAAAAGTTAAATCCAAGACACAGCTGTTTCTAAGCTGTTTGTGTTCGTGATAGAAGGATGCACTTGAAGTGATGTGAGTTAAGATGACAACTGATGACTTAGAAATAGTTCATCCCTCAGATCCGTCTGAGGCTTTGTTGGGTTTTAAATTTCAATTGTGTATATTAGATATTATTCTAAGCATTGATTTTAGTTTTAATACTATATTACTTTCATTACTACATATACTATATTTTGAATCACACTATGTATATATTTTTTTATCTACAACTACACTAATTTTCTTATATTTATATCATGCATAGTAAACACATCATGCCTGCTGAAGTTGCTCTACTGGATTTTTGGATTTCTCCCACATAAATTGCACAACTCATTTATATAAACCAGTAGTCACAACATTAAAACCACCTGGCCAATACTGCGTAAGTTCCCCCTCGTGCTGCCAAAACCGCCCTGACCCGATGTGGCATGGACATCAGGCCTCCACCGGTTTCCTGTTGTGTCTGACACCGTGCCATTGGCAGTGGATCCTTTCGATCCTGTGGGTTGCAGGGCGGGGCCTCTGAGGATCAGGTTTGTTCCGGTGGATCCTGTGGATACTGGTTCAGATTGGGATCCGGGGGAGCTGGGATGCCAGTTCATTGCCCCGGGATCGTTGTCAGGCTCCTTGATCTGCTCTTTGGTGTGCCGGGTGCTTTGTCCTGCTTGGGGAAGGCTGTTGCCATGGAGAGGTGTTTAGGTGGGTGGGAGATGTCAAATTAACATCCACATGAATGCCAGCACCCAAGGTTACCCAGCAGAACAGTGCATGGTAACAAGATGATCACCTAGCAGTGGTTTTATGTTGTGGCTGTAGTATGCGGTACTGTAATCTGGCTTTTAAATGTCATTTATGATTTAATATATTTTGCTTGTTATCAAATTATCTCATATATCTTAAAAGTGTGACATACCAATTAAATGCTCTGTTCTCTCTTCTCTGCGTAGGGTGATCAATGCAGGAAAGAGCACACTGAATGAGGACCAGGGCTGCTGTGAGGTGCTGGTGGTCAAGAGGAGACCCATAGGAAGCTCCACGCCCAACCGAACGCCCATGGCTCGCAGGAGGTCTTCCCTGCCCAACGGGGAGGGCCTGGGCCTCCGGGAGAACCCGGTGAGTCAAACTGAAGGGAAGTATGTAACCTTTCCACCACCTCTCCACTGACATTCTGCAGACACATTTTACAGTGACAGAAAGAGGTAGACTGCAAGAATACAGTACGGTAGTGAGATCTATTCTATTTCTTTTCCTTAGAAGCAGTCACACGCCGACTGTATGGATAAACGTGTGTGCAGCTGAAATGATGATATCTGGGGGCTGAAGTTTAAAAAACAAACAAAACAAAACGGCTATTTAGTGAGGTGAAGTGGAAAGTCTCATAAAGAGATTTAATGCACAAATAAGAGGATTTATTACATTTTTAGAAGAGACATTTATCAAATAAAAAGAACAAATCCAAACTGAGTTTTATACTTAAGTTCAAGGGCTATTTATGCAAGCAGGTGACCCATCTTTTTCTATCACTGACTGAAGTTTTTTACATGTTAGCGTGCATTTAGTGACTGAAATCCGGGTGGTAATCAGAGTGACTTTCGTCCTTGATTGTCCCCGGGGCGTTTTGTCGAGACCCGCCGTCCCCTGGTCCTGTCCCATCAGCAGTTTACTGGGGCGTACAGCACAGCGTCCTTTACACACCACACTGGCCTTGAGCAGCTCTCGCACACCAATCGGCTGATACACCGCCTAGGAAAACTCTATCATTATGAAATGTGAAGTTGCTGCCATTTGCTTTTGAAGGGCAGCGTGCTACATTCACACGGTACATTGACACTCTTAACTCACAGTGGTGGCGCTGTTCTTTTGAATAACAGTTTAACCACAAAAACACTGAAGTTTATCTGCTGCGTTTCTTTTCCTATCATTACAAATGTTGTCTTTTCTGCATTGTTCCATTGTTCTTTCCTCACTGAGACACTAAAATACTGCTCCTAACATTTCCTCTCAGCCCACCAGCACTTTACTCAGGCCAACCCAGAGCCTACAGCAAACTCATGCAAGTACCTCATGACTCACTACTGCAGTGATGCTAGACCAATAAAAGTCATGTAGAGCCTTTCTAGTGCTTCGTGCTTGCTTCGTAGACTCATGCTGAAGATTCTGCCTGTGTTAAATTTAGAAAATCAGATCTTTAGTGTGTACTGAAACATGTGCTAGCACTGCCTAATGCTCAGCGGCCATAAAACATGCAGTTTACGTCAGCACTCTTGTTTGTTTTCTATATATTCGTCACAGCATAATGTGCAACAACCACTTGGAGATTTAAACACTGATAGAGGAGTTAAAATGCCAAGTAAGAGTCTCGAAGTAGAAAGCACCGTTGGATTCAGGAGAACGGAGGATCACAGAGTTGCTGCAGTTTGTGAAGACGGCAAACTCAAACGGTGTTCAATCGATGAGGCAGATCACAGGAAACTTTGTCTAAACATGATGTGGGAGGTGGCCCTTTGTAGATCAAGACCGTATACAGCTCCGGAGCACATAGTGCATCATAGCGGGCCTATTAAAACCTGCACATTGAAGCTAGAGCAAACATTAACATCATAGCAGAGCAGGCTCATCCAGTCATAGACATCTGGCACCCCCAAGGGGAGGTTTACATTAGGATCAGATCACTGAGCTGACCGCTGCAGTCTCCTGGCAGTGTTCCCGCTGAACACCTGTGGGATGAATTTGAATGCAGCATAAAAGGAGCTTTCATACATTAACCTGTGAGACGCACTGACGTCTGCACGGCTTTATTTACATAGTGGACAATGAGTAGTAGCTGCGCTTATTGCTGAAGTTGTCCCCAGTGTGTTGCTAAACTGAATTTACACATTATATCTAGTCACTGACGCTCCAGATATTGCACCAGTGTTTCCCAAATTTTAAAGTTCTTCAAGTAGTGTTCCCCTTTTGGATTGTTTCAGTTTGTTCGCTTTAAGAAGCCTCAAGATGTAAATCTATCCTGGAGAGAAAAAAAAAGCAGGGATTAGAAACAACACACAAAGAAGGAGAGGAGTGTATTGTTTGATTTCCTCCAGGGATTTATAGTATCTTGAGACCGGTTGATGGGTTCTGAGCCTCCAGGTTTGGAACCACAGCTGTGTGTCCTATGGCTGCAATGAGGAAGGACGCTTTGGATTTCTCTACAATCACACTTTTATCATTCTGGATGATGAGTCATTGCATTTCATTAACAGATATCTTGTTGCTTATAATTAAAATATGCAGAAAAAGCTCTACATTTCTTAGCCTCAGTGATGAATGCGGCTGCTTTTTTTAACAGTGTATGCTCTTTAGAGATGCTTATTAGGTCTGACCTGAATGTCTGATTAGCTACAATCAACTCCTGATCAATTCTTAAATATTATTCATGTTGACAGACAACCAAGGGAATACTTTTTTTTTTTTTCTTTCAGTCAACTGCTGACTACAAAAAGTTAAACTATGTCCAGTATTCTCAGCAGACAGTCATATTGATCAGTCACACTCTGGATTGATTCGCTCCATTGAAGATAAAAACATTTTCAGGATGTAGTTGATCGTGTTGATAAATTGCAAAGTCTGACAAAGTTCCTATTCTCATGTTACATCCTGGAAACGCACAACTGATTAATGTATGTGTGGTTGGCGTGCACTCTTCCCTGTGTGCAGGAAAGCTCTGAGGATCTGACCTTTCACTACTGGGCGTTGTTCGATGGCCACGCTGGTTCTGGGGCGGCTGTAGTGGCCTCCCGCCTCCTCCATCACCACATCGCCCTGCACCTTCAGGAGGTGATGGAGATTCTCTGCACCCCCAACCTGCTGCCACCCACATGCCTGGGCGAGGAACCGATCAATCACCACCTCACCCCGACGTCTCAGCGTGCCCTCACCAGGGCTGCGTCTCTCCGGGGTGCCGCGGGGGCTCCAGGCTCCCCCAGCACCCCGCCCACTCGATTCTTTACCGAGAAGAAAGTTTCACCCGAGAGCCTGGTGATCGGAGCCATCGAGAATGCCTTCAAAGACATGGTAAGAGACCTGTGCTTGATGTGAAAACCAGAGATCAGTTTTTTTAGTGTTAAAGAACAGCTGCTCAACATTTGTTGACTAATGTGATTTAGAGATGATGCACACCATTCATTGTACAATATGTTCCTGCTAATGATCCTCGTGTTGCCTGAAGAAAAACATGAAAAACATTTGTGCCTCTAATCCTGGGACTGTCTTCTCAGTTCCACTCTGATGTTTTAAATCACAACAGACTTCACAATAGAGCAGCATAAAAATGAGCTGGGAGATGTATTGGCACTGCTAGCACTACAGGTCCATCAGGAAGCATTTAAGCTGAGCTTGTGTGATGTGTAATTTACTATAATTCCCAGGTCGGATATCCCCAACTAATATCATCCAAACTTGTTGCTCCAATCCTTGGTTTTATGTGTGGGTGGAGAACATGCAGCAACTACCTAAAGACTACAAAGACAAAAGCCACTCCGGCTGTATTGCCTGAAAGCAGGGCGTGGTTGGAAATAAAAAGAAGCTTACAAAAAGACAAAAAATAGGATTATCTATATTCTGTGTGCACAGCCTGCAATCCAAATAACTGTTAATCTTTGCACACACCTTTACCTTATATACACAACTAAACAGAACTTGATAAGAATTTTCCAGCCTACTGTTGATTTTTACACGACAGGCGACGACATTTATCAGTAACTGTGTACAGACAGCACTGTGCAATCAGTGTGCTTAGATAACATCCATTAGGCTCTAATTGCATCAGTTGGTATTGATTCATTGTAGTTAGACAGTGAAGTGAAAAGCACATCGGACTGCAAATTTCCTGTTTGGTTTACAGCGATAAACGTACACACATGAATCATTTCCTGACTTTTATAGCGCTATGTCGTACGCCGTTTGCTGTATGTAACCCTGGCACTTAAATGACTCGACACGTATGATTATGAAACAATAATTCCCCGTCAACTTGAAAGGCGGCTGTAAAAGGTTTGTGGAGTTTCCTCGTAATAAGCTGTGATGTGAATCATAAATTATCTCAATTTATTGCAGGTTTTCATGCTGCAAAAATGCTTCGAAGCACAATTGCAGCACAATCCACCCTTTCTGCTGTCCTCCCATTTGCTCAAACAATTACTGCATCACTGTCAATACAGCTGTCTATCAAACATATAGTGTTTGATTCTGAAAAGTGAGATTTCAGGTGTTTACAGCACTCTAAGTTGAAGTGTCGTCTGGAGTGTCGTCCTGCCATAGTCCAGAGAGATTATTAGGGTTAGAGGGGTCCTAAGGTTGATCGCACACAGTAAACTCGCCGACAAACCCACGACAGCAACACAAACACTTACCAAATTCATAATGCATGACTGTTTCTCTTGAAGCACATGGCGTCAGTCAGACAGCAAATGCAGAGCCAGGAGAGGTGATGTACTTTCCCCTCAAGCTGCTGCAGGTCACACACACTCACCATCTGGCTGTGCTGAAAGTGGATGCTGGAGACTTAACTGGTGGAGATCAAGAGCAGAGCCAATCAAAACAGTGTAGGCCCGTCTGACAGGGAGGGTCAGAGGTCACCGGTTTCAGTTTCATCATCAAGGGCTTTGAACACTGTGTGTACTCGCCTGTGCTTATCCTTGCCTGGGTTGAGAAAGAATATTGATCTTATATACTTAAACACTGAGAGATGAAGTCTGCTTGTTTTAAAACAGATATTCGTGGTCTTTCAGAGCTTGCCATGTAGAGAGTATGATGCCTGCTAGAAAATTCAAATGTACAAATGACTTCAAAAATAATACGACATGCAAGATAAACAATAAAAGTTTATGTACAGTAATTAAAAATAAATAAAATACATTACTAAATGAATGAAAAAAAAGACCAGAGTAAATCCTGTAAACACAGACTGCCATTAAAATGAGAAGATTTGCAGGTTTGCTCTTGTTGCTACATTAAGCTTAAAGCTACTATTTAATTAAAAACAAAATGCCCCTGTGGCCAAGAATTTCTTTTAAAATGTCCTCATTTGACAAGAACATCTGCCCAGAATCCAAACATATTCAGTTTACTCTCACAGAAAAACAACACTGAGTTAGTGCCATCCTTTCTAAAACAAATACTAAAATCTATGCAGTATCTATGTTGTTGTTGCTGTAAAACCCTCCCGCCAGGACTTGTAAACACATGCTGTGCATTATCGCTCAGTAGTGCTCTGCCTGCGTCTGCACAACGCAAATTTTTGCTGAAAGATAACATTTGCATTGTTGGTGAGATCTCTCTGGGAGCCTAGATCTTGATAGAGGGCAGTGAAGACACAAAAATCCGAGTACTCAGTGTATTCTGGTGCTTCCAGATCTTGACCACAAGGTGGTAGTATGCAATTAATAATTCCAGCCATGGTCTTAAAAACAGGAGTAGTGTACTGGGTGTGTGTGTGTGTGTGTGTGTGGGTGTAATTAATGCCTGTTTAAGGATCAGTTAATTCGCAGAAAGATCTATTGTGAATTTTTGGTTACTGAAAGGGTGAAAAGTGTCATGAGTATTGTGTTTAAAATTGCTTAGCAGGATAACTGAACCACCATTTGCTGGTTTTGTAATGTTAAAATAAAATTAGTTAAAATAGTGTGGCGATAATTGGCAGAAATCACAAGATACTGAAACTGTAATCCAGTTTTACAATAAAAAATCAGCTTTTTATTTGTTCTAAAAAAAAAAGTTCTGCAAAGTAGTGCTTCTATTCTTTTCTCTCAGAATGTTGTTCGGGGTGCGGATACCGTTCTGTAAAGACATTCCTAAAATGTCTGGCGATACCATCATCAGACCATTATGCCCCAAGCATTTCTTAAAACATTTTGCCGTAAGAGCGTCTTTCCTTTGATAACACGCAACACTGTGTAATATTTTATTCTACAATGTGTTAACAACATCCCAAAAACATCCCAGTGTTTTATCTTACATACCATATTACAGGAATGTTGAATGAAAAAAAAAACGTTCTGTCATGTGAGGCCTTGATAACATCCTCCAAACATCCTCTGAATGTTGCAACATTATGTCTTATACATAAATGTACCTAAAATGTTTTTTGAATATTACATTACAACCTTTCCTTTAAGCATCATTATACGTTGCAGGTCAGCATTTTGGGAATAACTCTGGGAATTCACTACACTCTGACATCATAATAGTGTTTTTTCCTCATTTGATGTCCCTGTTCCTCACACTTGACGTTTTTCCTGTCAGTGACGTATCTGTCCTAAACTCCTTGCAATAGCCACACAAGTGCCTCCCTCCTTCCCTAACTTGCTCTTCAAAGTGCTATACTTTAAAGCTTATGAGATGTATTTTCAGTTCACTGTTCAGCGTTTCACTAATTTGTTTTTCCAGGTGGTTACAGCTCTCAACTATAAGCTCTAATTACAGTACTTACTTTCCTCCACAGCTGTCATTTATTTTAATTTCAGTAATAATTTTCGTAAAATTAGATGCAGTTTGTTTCAAATGGCACACATTTCCGCTTGGAACGAAATACTGTCACTTCTGCTTCTGCTGACTAAGTACCCAAAAGTCGATTTTGGCAGAATCTCACCCCTATAAAGCCTCTCGTCTTATTTTTTTAATGAAGCTCATTCTTTAAGAAAATGGGAAGTGTCAGGGAATCTTGGGAAGGTCTGGTATCTCTCTAAATCTCTGTCTCAGAGTTCGCCGAGCCACTGTATCTTATCAACGGGAACCGCCTTTAATTCTGACACGACTCACTGCGTCCTTCTGGCAGTGGATAAACACTCAGAGAGGTGCAAATATCAAAACCGATGTTTAGCTCAGAGACACAGGCTTATCAGCTGAGCTCTAGGGTGAGCCAGGACAGAAATAAGAGGCGATGAAATCACTGGCCTCATGTGACCTTAGTCAGTTTAGGAAACAAATTTGTAGCACCTGACTGATTCTCTGTATGTCTAAAATCTAGTTGAGCTGTACTTTAGCTGTAACTTGACATCTTACCACTATTAAGGATTGCTTCTTTTTTTTTTATTTAAAAGCATTATGTCTCCATTTTAGGTTCAGATTTTGTAATGCGTTCCCTCAAAACCCTGCCCCTCCTCTCAAATAGCCTCCGCCTGAGTGCAAATCAGCTCTCCTCTCAGATATGCTGCTGCCTGCACAAATGTCCTGCGCTTCAGTTTTGCCGTTGCCCTTAAACGGCTTCTGTGCACTCGAGAAACTTCTGCTCACAAATTTGAATTCGGAATTTGCTCTCATTCTCTTATCTTGGTGAAAGAACCCTGTCAAAATTCCCCAACCAGTACACCAGGTATGAAATCATCACTGCCTCCTTGCAGGTGCGTTCGATTTACTTCTTACGACGTCCCTTTCGGGCGGGTTCGTCCACTCCTGCCTTCCTGGGTTTTATTATAGGTGCCTCACTTGTTTTTTGTGGGACATATGGAGTTAATTCATATAATAGTGTCTGCATGTAATAGCTACATGTAACAATAGCCCCATAGCACAATGGATTTCCGTTGGGTCACAAGGGGGGATAATTATGTTCTTTACAGCGTCCCTTCCTATTTACCCAGGCTCAGCAGATCACTCACCCGTATGGTTAACTCATTTCAAGGACCTCAATTAAGTATTTTATTTAAATGCACTATCACTTTCTTCAAGTGTAATTGATAAAGGCGTATTTGCAACATGGGAATGCATGTAGGATAATATGCTCGACCTTTAAGTGTTAATTACGTGGACTAATGGGACCACCGTTACATTATGTATACAGTATGTGTATTAATGGCAAAAGTCAAACAAGAAAACAAGTGATGTACATATAATAAGCCCTGGAAGGCCGGAGAGGATGTACCCTGTCACATATTACCTGTCCACAAGGGATGCTGTAAGAAGCACGTGAAGCAGCGTCATACCTGGCATTGTGTTGCTTCAGGTTAGGGGAGCAGAAGTTTCATGAGTGCACAGGGTATTTGTGCAAACAAACAATATAGCCGAGTGCAGAAAAACACTTCTGAGCAGATTCTCACCCAAACAATTCGCTATTCAAGAGAAAGGGCAGAGTTCAGATGGAAAGCATTACAATATCTGAATGTAAAATGGAAAAATAGTGGTACTCTGAAAGAACACGCTCTTGAATAAAGAAAGGAAACGAACTCCATTCCTCTATGTGAGTCCTCTAGTTCTCAGTCTGTCAGTTGGGTGATCAGGAATAGGTAAACATTCACTAGCCTGTTAGCTTAGCTTCATGCTAACACTGCTTCATGCTTCATGACTAGAAACAGCTAGCCTGACCGGCTCATAAAGCTCCTTCTTTACCATATTATATCTTGTATGTTCAAAAACACAAGAGTAAAAACAAGAGTGTATTCGTTCCCACTGTTGTACACACAAATTCACTTCTCCAAGCCAGGAAATAGTTTTACACATATTAAATCAATGAACCCCAAAAATGTGCTGATTTGAGGTGGTTTTGGTGTGTAAATGCAGTTATGACGCGTTAGTTACACAATTCAGAAGTGCTGTTAGCCTTGTTTTGTTACTCGTACAAAGCCACGCTATATGTTTATGCTAAGCTAAGCTAAACAGTTGCTAGCAGTAGCTTCAAATGTAGCATACAGACATAAAAGTAGTATTTATCATGTAACTCTTACCATGTAAGTGAAAAAAATGGTATTGGCTTGCATTTCTAGTTATGCTAAGCTAAGGTATATTTTTTCTCTTGTAGACAGATTAAGAGACATGTATTGTCCAAAATGCTGAACTACTCATTTAGGTAAATTTAATTGCTTTCATAAAATATGCGGTTTAGCATTAGCCTTGTGAAAAATAAATTAATTTGTGTCAACAACTTCATACCGCATTCAGCATGTATTTTTGACCTGGTATGATTTGTCAAGGGTAGTTTCACATCCATTTTGATTTTATTTTTGCAATTAGGGCGAGGTAGGTAACTACGTGACTGCGTGCATGTTGGCAGAAGGTTATTTATGCTTTTTGTTAAAAGAGCATAAGTCAATTGTCTGAAAGATTTGCCCAAAGGTCTTTCTTGTCTTTAAAAAAAAACAGCTGAAATGTCAACGCTTTGGCTAATTAGTTAAAAATGATGAATTCTGTTAATTACCTGCCACATTGTCCACCATCAGAGTTCTCCATCTTTTCTGACGTTCAGCCTCTTTTTCTGCCCGCGCCGTTTCTCCCGGAGTTATTTCTTTTACATTTCCTGCTTTTAGGCCTAATAGGTTAAGGCTCTCTCATTGATTCTGCAAATTCAATAACAAATAAATACTGCAAAGAGCCTCGAAAAGGGAGGTTTTGACCTGGTGTAAGCTGGTCTGAATGGTGCTGTGACCATGGTGGCTTTTGGGACAGGACGACCCAAAATCAAACACTGATTATTGATCACACTAATTTAAATCGATGAAACATCTATTCACTTCTTTACAAGCCTATTTTGTGTCCCTTTTATATACTATAAAAACAGAAAAATAAACCCGTGCCTTAGGAACTTTCTAAAGATTAAAAACAGGAATATTGAGATGTTTTTCTGGATGGGAAGACATTTTTTTTCCCCATTTGTGTATCCCTGCAACAGGATGACACTTGATGTAGTTTAGTGGGGTGAAATGCGTGGATGTGTACTGCATGATGCTGTTTGTTTATGCTGTACTTAGTGTGTTCCGGATATTTTCTCCTTAAATTAGTTTATATGAGTGGGTTGAGAGGAATCTAATTGATTATTCTTGTGTTGACCTTGTAAAATTATTTACTGGATGATTATTTTATTTGCAGTCAGTTATGTTCGTACTAATTGGCTTGTGTATATGATGTTGGGAACTGGACCATTCCTGATTGGTCAGTTCTACCTTGTGGTGTTATCTTTCAAGGAAATGATAAAGATTTTAAGACGTGTAGAAACTGCTTTGGCACAAGAATGGCAGTTGGGAAAAATAGGATGTGTATTTTTGGGTATTGCATCTCTCTCTCTCTCTCTACCTCTTCTCCGCCTTCTGGTTATTTAGCTCAGTTGTGTGATTCTTCTGGGCTGAACTGGAGTCGAGATAGGTGTAGATGTTTATGCAGACGTTTCCATTATTGAAGACTTGCCTGCAGCAAGAGGTATTGGACACAGCGAGGATAAATATGTATGGCTCACTATGAATTCATAATTCATGCAGGGTGAAGGACACATTTGTTCAACCCCCCCTCCAGCCCCTACCCCCAAGAGTAGTGTCTGTCAGGAGTGTCTGCAGATTCACACAAACACACGCTCAACATTCACACACTTAACGCACGCCCCACCTAGACACAATCACACATATTTATGCTGGCGTGTGCCTCAATCCGTCTCCTGTCAGAGAGGCGCACATACATTCGCTTTTGTGTAGCGCACGCACTCGCATTTACAGAGTCGTGTTGCGATGGAGGTTGTCAGCGGTGGAGCAGAGGGCGATACGCTTTAGCTGGGGTGAACATCCCTCATGGGAAAACAAGCTCGGGAAGGCCTAAGCGCGAACGTGTTTGCCGGCGTTTTTCAGTCCCACTCAATCTGTTGATCGTGATGGAGGGACGCAAATGAGGCGCCCGAGGGGTCGCTCGTTTCCCTGGGATATCTTTCAGCTTCTGTTTTGACGATTAAAGGCCCCCCTGAGGAGCTGTTAGCAGCCGACCAACAACAGCCACCGAGAGCACAAAGGGGTTAAAACGTAGTCTGAGCAGCTTGGTTCAAATTTATGTTACCGTTTTGATTAATTCAGTGACAGGTTAATTATTCATCTAATTAATGAACTGATTGCATGGTTTTCTTCAAATCATTTTTGGTTTAATTAGCACCAAATTAATCTGGGCTAATTAACTGGTGTAATAACCAGCGGCCCCTCCAAACTTTCTCTTCTGTCCTTTAGGTTTCCATTCTTTTTATTGCGCCTTGACTTATGGCGCTCTTGATAAATGAATTCATTATGGTGCTATAATTAATAACAGCATCATGGCTGGCTTTAAGTATCAAGGCGATATTTTACTCTGTATCAGGTTGGGCCTTAAACACTGCGTGATAGGAAAAAGTTTTTGAAGGCTGTGATGATTAGAGACCGTGATAATGTTCAGAGGATGGGTTTGGAATATAATGTTCTCATCAGTGGATTAATGTGTGTCTTCCGTGTGTGTTTGCATTCAGGATGTCCAGATAGAAAAGGAGAAGGCCGTCTACAACATCTCAGGTGGCTGCACTGCGCTGGTGGTCGTCTATTTGCTCGGAAAGCTCTACGTAGGGAACGCCGGGGACAGCAGGTGTGATACTCGTACACAACAAAAAAAAGGAGCACGCACTGCTATACAACCTACTCTATAAGCGTCTTTTGGCTCTGTCGCTCACCTCCTCGTGCCCCGCAGCCAGCAGGAGCAACTGTGTCCCTTCCTACATAAACAGAGTTTTGCTTTGTCTGCTCCTCTCCCTCAGAGCTATCATTATCCGGGCCGGGGAAGTCATTCCCATGTCAGCAGAGTTCACACCAGAGTCAGAGAGACAGCGACTGCAGTTCTTGGTAAGAAAGAACCCTCCTCAGCTCGTTTCTAGCGAGCACAGCTGTCAGATATTAGCAGAGCTGACCTCCCCTCCTGTTGAGACACCAGCTATGCTTAGCTCCGTCTCTCTTACGCGGCCTGCTCTCTTTGCCAGCTTAATAGACTATGGAATTGTTTTTCCTATCCCTTGGGCATGTCAATCTTATACTCTTTCTGTGTGTGTTTTTTTTTTTTTTTCCTTTTCATATCAAAGGCCTACATGCAGCCCCACTTATTAGGGAACGAGTTTACACATCTGGAGTTCCCGAGGAGGGTGCATAGGAAGGAGGTGGGGAAGAGGATCCTGTACCGTGACTTCACCATGTCGGGATGGTACGTTAACTGATGATAAATGTTATTTTTCTTTGATTGAATTAATCGCAATGTCGCATGCAATGCAGAAATGACACAGTATGCCAACTGTGAGGATACCACAGTTTTTTCTCACGTTGCCTCTTGTGTCATCCAATTTATCCTATTGCCTTCCAAGGAAATTGTTTATTGCTAAACACATTTGTTAAAAAATACTGTTCAGTTTTTTTTACGCTTTCTACTTATGTGTCTCTTTGGATCCATCTACGAACCCCCAGAGAGGAACTGATGCCAAAGTAATTTCTGCAAGCTAGCCTGTTATCTACATCTGAATGGCTTTGTGCAATGTACTGGTTATGAAAATAGCCACTAATAGCAACTCTGTCCCATTCAGTGTCAAAAAAAAAAAAAAAAGCATTCACAGCTTCACTGTCAGAGGGAGGCCAGAACATGTCCTTGACATTTCGACATCTGCGCATGAGAAGAAGTCGTGAAGGAATTTGTGGGCATAGCAAAGACCTCCCTCTTTATCTTGCTGTGGAGAGAGAGATTAAAAAAAAGGTCAGAGAGATTCAGGGAGATGAAGTGAGATGGAGGAAACGAGAAAATGCATAAAAACGAAGAAACAGATGGAAATGTGAAAGCAAGGTAAAAGGACAGAAGTAGACAGAAGAGAGGGCACCACAGAGACAAAAACTAAGCGGAGGAATGATGATATATACATCTCCAAGTGTCCACTTTACATTTTTCTGTAAGAGAAAAACATGTTCAGGTGATAGACTATTCAATTTATTCTTGCAAGGACTTTAACCCTAAAGTCATACTGTAGTTAAAAACATAGCTGCAGTACCAAGGCCACGTTTGGGTAACAGCAGGGTAACACCACTACCTTTACAGTAAGAAAGTAGCTATGCATACAGTCATGCTCAAATTTATTCATACCATTAAAGAAAAGGCAAAATTCACAGTAGTCACTGAAATAGCTAGAAACTGAAAAAAGTAATAATCAAAAATTGCTAAATTATAATTTATTGACATAAGACATTGCTTTTGAATTGTGGTTGAAAAGAATAATTAAAAATAAATAAATAAATAAAAACTGTCCCAGACAAATTAGAGCACTTTGCTGGTGAGCAGTGGGCCAAAATCAAAATACCTGTCAACAGGTGCAGAAGTCTGATTGAGAGTTACAGAAACACTTGATTGCAGTGATTGGCTCAAAGGGTTGTTCAACAAAATATTAGTTTACGGTTCCCATCATGCTTGTTTGCCTTTTTGTTTGTTTGTTTGTTTTTTTTATATATTTCTGTTGAACCACAATTCAAAAGCAATGTCATCCCAGCTGACTTAGGGTGAAGGCAGGGGACACCCTGGACAGGTCACCAGTCTATCACAGGACTACACTTAGAGACAGACAACCAAGCACACTCACATTCACACCTACGGACAATTTAGAATCACCAATTAACCTCAACATGCTTTAGGACTGTGAGGGAGGAAGCCAGAGAACCTGGAGAGAACCCACACTGCACGGGGAGAACATGCAAAAGCAATATCATGACTTTTATTAAATTTTTATGCACTTTTTTTTTGTAAATTTCAACTTATTTCAATGTTTTTTTCCTTCTTTAATGGGAGGGTATGAATACATTTGAGAAGGACTGTATGTACTCAAGTAGCTAATGGAATTTTCAGGAATATCTTGGATTATTCAATCATTATTATATATTATAAAGTGACTCTTGAATCTTAATATGCAACTTAGCTGACTAGCTGTCAGATCAGTGTTTTGGAATATAAAGTAAAAAGAGAAAACAGAAGAGAAATATAGAAATACCTCAAAATGCATGAATCCAGGGTGAGTAAATATACTTGATTGCATAACAGCACTGTTGTTGCAACAGTAATTAAGATATTCCGAAAATTGAGGTTCTTTATTTTTTAAGCATCTGAATCGTGTTTACCCTCTGCAGAATATATGTATATATATGTGCTGATGCAGATGCCAGTGTTAGAGGGACAGTGAGGGTAAAAGGCAGAGTGGACCGAGGACAAAGCTGGTGACAGACGAGGGATGAACAGTATTTTTTCTGACAACATCTCCGTGCAGTCGTGTTTTGCGGCTCAGCTCAGTTCAGCAGATGTAGGTCAGTCAGTGGCTGTGTTCCTTATTGGGCCCAGAACTCTCAGCCCGCCGTCTGCCTGCTTACTGTCTCAGCAGTGCAGACGGCCTGTGATGTATTTTTAATAAGGTTCTACCCATAACCCAGTTCTGCTTCTGTTTCACCCGGACTAAGTCTGGGTCTTAAATTAGTACCCTGTCAGTCGGCGTTGCTGATTGCTCTGTTGTGCGTGGGTGTGACTTAACTGTGTCATCTCGTATAGGTGCAGTTCACAGGCTCTATAGGCGTCAGAGGATCAGTTTTTGATGTCTGCGCGGCTTTTCTCTGTCTCTGCATGTACACGTGCGCGTTCAGCCTGTGTGCCCACATGCTGTGCGTGTGTGTGGGTGTACGCTGCCGTCCAATTCCCTCAAAGGCATCTATGATCAAGGCTGTGCTCTAATGAAGGCATACAGGCCTGCAGCCCACCTCTCTGTCTTCCTCCCTCGCTTTCTTTACCTCCCTTCCCTCCCTCAGCCAGTTGGACCGGAGTGAGATCTGGCTTTGGCATCGCAGACTGTAATGGTGGTCGTTGGCCGGGACGGCAGGCAGGCGGTTTTTGTTTGCCCAGAGTGATGGATGTTGAGTGGTCAGCCGTGTTCGGCATGATCCAGACGCCACGGTAGCACAGGCAGTCAGGTGGAGGGAGGGAGGGAGAGAGAGTGGGGGTAGATGGTGGGTGGCTGCAGAAGGAAAAAAAAAAAAATGAAAAGAACAAGATGATGTGGTGGCCACAAAGGAGGGCAGTGACAAATGACAATGAACAGTTCTGAAGCTTTCTCCCTTTGGTGCCCACGTCCACAGGGGTGTCTGCCCTCCCCCCTGATCCTATAGACAGTGAATGAGGGAGGAGGGGGAATAACGCACACTTTCATCACTGTCATATGGTGCTGTGCAAAAGTGTTAGGCACTGTGAGGAAGCTTTAACAAATATGTGCAATAAGTAGAAAAACAGTGAATTAAATCAATGTTAAGTGTGGACTCCCCACCCCCACCCCCTCCTTGAAACAGCACATGTTCTGCTCGGCTCAAGGTAGGTAGGTTGTTCCATAGAACTTGGCCCGTTCTGCTCTTGCTGTCTTCTGTATCTTCATGTAATCTCAGTTTGACTCCACGACGCTGAGATCAGGGCTCTGTGGGGGCCGGACTATCTCCTGGGGGGACCTTTCTTGTTGCTGAAGATAGTTCTTCACGACTTCATGGCTGTATGTTTGGTGTCACTGTCCTGCTGCAGCATGATTTTGGGGACTGATTAGACATCTCCCTCTCAGAATTATATGATTGATAAGCATCTAAATGTCTATAAGTGCTAAAAACTTTTGTCCTGTATTATCTCACTCCCCTATGCTGCCCCTCCCCTCCTCTCTCCTGCTCCGCCCGTTCTTTCTCTCTTTTTCCATTATGCCTTTGTATTGGTATGACTGATTCCTACAGCTTGCATTTGGAGAATCGCTGGGTCACTGCCATTTACTCTGGCCTTGCTTTGCTCCTGAGAGCACCACTCAATCTATGAAAAGCCCATCAAGGTTGCCCAAAAAAATTTGTTTCAACCAACTGTCAATTGCGCCAATTTGTCTGACTCATCCGGTGCTGACACAGGCCCCGCCACAATGTCACCTCGATGTCTGTCGACAGGTGTGTGTGTGTCTGGTTGTGTCGAGATGTATATAACGGTCTGTGTGTGTGTGTGTGTGTGTGTGTGTGTGTGTGCAAATTATGATGCAGCGCACGCACTGCTGATGTTTTTTCTGTCACCCCTCTTTGCACCAAGCGGAGATGACATCACTCTTCTTCTTCTCTCCTGCCCTTCCTTAGTCACCTGCAGAGAAGATGATACAACTCCCCTCTTCCCTCCTTCCCAGTGTCGCTCTGTTCCTCCCTCCCCCCCACGCCACTCCTCCCCCCCCAGTTAGTCACACGCCGCAATCTTACCGGGCAACCAGTACAGCCCTTGAATGTAAAAGCGGCCAGTGTTGTGGTCAGACAGTACGGACCATGAGCAAATCTCCTTGCTGTTTTTGATGTGTCCCCAGAGCAGGGAGCAGGTATCATAACAGGATTAATGTGTATCTTTCTCATTCTGTCACACACTCGTTATCTCAAGTCTGACAGGCTGGATTCGCAGTAAACACACGTCTCGAGAGGGAGACTGTCCCCGACAGCAGGCTCCGGGGATTTCATCCAAGACATCTTTGAAATAATGACAGAAAGCGTGTGCCTCTCTGTTGTAGTTTTTTTTTTTTTTTTTTAGGAGACACTTCTTGAAGGTGAAATACTAAAATGAAAGGAGCTTGAAGTAATTTTGCAGGAGAAACAGTGTTACAATAAGACCTGTTTTAATGGTCAGTTTAAGTTTCGCGTCATCAAACTGCTATTTTAACCGTGTTTTTTTTTGGGGTTTTTTTCAACGCTGTAAGCATCTGTGAGGAAACACTTGTGTGGACTGTTATTTTTGCGATGCAGCTCTCCGCTCAGAAGAGGCTGCAGACTGTATTTCTGTGTTTGTGGGCTGTGTGATAGTCCTCGCTCTGCACAGTTCAAAAAGTGCTGAGTGCAGCAGTGTAGCGCTCGCCTAAGGTGGAAACATATGGTCTCTCTGAGTGGAACCAGCAGTAATGTAAAAACCATCCCGGTCCCTGCTAATCTGCTTCATAGCAGCTGAAATGCATTGGGTCTGGTGTGTGGAGCAGACCTGGGTCACAATTGGTTTGTTTCAACAAACTTTTTAAACTAGCTGGCTATTTTCATTAACTTTTATCATCAAGGGCATTGCAAATTCACTTTAAGCTATTTTTTTTTACGTCAGTTATGTATATTTATTCATTCGTTTCCTCCAATCTGAAGGCTAAAATGAAGAATAACCTGTATTTCTAAATGTTATTCGATACAGGTCGGGACTCAATCAAAGCCAGATTTTTTTATTCGTAGCACCTGGTCTGAGTTGTGAATGGAAAACTTTGTCCTGGCAGCTCGTCTGGAAATTGGCTCAAATTTGTAGTGTTTCTGGTACAGTAAAGTTACACAGCTGTTCCTCTGACGTTCAACTGTTCATGGATGAAAAAGCGCACATTCACTATGAGCGCATGAGCAGGAGTGTTGGGTTTCTTTTCTGCAAGTTTCTGAGCTGTAAATGTGAAAAGTGTATCCTAAGACCTGGCATGAATACATACAGTATTTTACAGTCTTCTTCCTCGTGCTGCAGCTCCGTCTGGTCCCAGTGTGAAGGTGGTAAATTATTCATTAGTTGGGAAGTTTAAACATTGCTCTGAGAACAGAATGTGAACGTGGATAGTCTTGCATCATTCAGCCGTTTTACATCCAGACCTTCAGAGGCATACATGCACGTACACGTACACACAGCTGCTGCAGAAAACCAACAGTAAACCAAGAGAGTCTCACACATCCATAGACGTCTTCTTTGTCGCTAGGGAGACTTTTGCAAGATCAGTTAGACGGGAGAAAAAGAGAGAGAATTATGCTAAGGCTGTGTGTCATTCTCTGTGATGTCTGGGGGATTTTTCTTTCTTTTTTTTTTTTTTTGCTTCACCCTCTCTCTTTTTCCTACTAACATACCCTTTCACTCCATGCCAGTCGCCTCGGCAGCAGGGCCTGTGGGGGGCACGGAAGCGATGCATCTCAAGGGCACGTGTGTGCCGCCTGCCATAAACATAAAAACCCATTAAAGTGTCTTCTCTCCTCTGCGCAGGGCTTATAAAACCATAGACGACGATGACCTAAAGTTTCCCCTGATCTACGGCGAAGGGAAGAAGGTAAGAAGTGCTCGGCGGCCGCTTGCTGACAGAGTTACTCCCACGGCCTTGTGTGCCTCGCCTGTAATCAAAGCTCACCAGGGCACCATTAGTCAGCCCCCTCCTGCCACTGTGTGGAGGAGCCAGCCGGTGGAAAGCATCCCCGGCCCTCTTTTTCTTTTTCCACAAGGATCTCGCATCCTGCACCAACCTATAGCACAGACAATTTCTAGGCCCTAATGGACTTTGTGCTCTTATGTCCCTCAGCTGGTAAAATGGAGCACTAACACAGCTAGGGGTGGAAGGAGGGACTCCCATCTGAAGCCGTCCTTTAGATGGATATGATAGTAGAAGGATGAAAATATCCAATAACTGACGATATGTTAATTGGAGTCTTACATCACTAAAACAATGAGTTGCAGGAGATTCTTGTCAGTGTTTTGACACAAACACAAAAGAAAAGGTCATGAGCTCAGCGCACTGTTCCTGACATTTTCCTTCCCCTCAGTGACGCCGTACATGCGGCGGTGTGCGGCATCTTGTCCTTGTTGAATTGAAAAGGTCAGAGAGGAAACATGATAGATTAGAATATCTCCTCGCCGTGGCCTTCTCCAGCTGTTTTTTTAATACGCGCAGACAGTAGATTTATGTTTGACTGATGACAGGGGCAGATGTCACACCACGGTGTTCTCTGCCTGCAACCACATTCAGGTTTACCCCGGTGCGGCTGCCGGTGCCCACGTCGTGTCCTCTCCCTTTGAAGTGAGGCACGGAGATGGATGGCTAGATAGAGCGAGGGGAGCTTTGTGCGAGGGAGAGGAACGGCAGAGCACTTCAAAGCCCCGGCGCGCAGCCTGCTGGGCCCCAGCGCTCAACAATTAATCCCAGGATGTTTCCCCTTCTCCGCTGGAGGAGCTTCGCCGCCACTTTGAAACGCTCTCCCTTCTCTCCACCTCTCTGTCTCCTCTTGCTCCTCCGTTCTGTGCTGCATACTGATCCGAGCTCATCTCCAGCAGGCCTCACTTGAACCTCATACTTAAATGCCCTTTGTCTGTACAGTGGATTCAATTAGCCCACTTCCCCAGTCCCGTGCCTGCATCCATTTTTAGAGGCAGTCATGGAGATCTGTCCAGACAGTAGGAGTCCAGTTTCATTCAGCTTACAAATGAATATAATATCATTTGAGGCTTGGATGATGATTTAATGCTCTGGGATAACTGGAAGATGCTGATATTGAAGCTTTTTTGTGTCTAAATGCTGCTCATCCATCCAGAGAAAGATTCCCACTGGGAGTGCTCTGTAAAATGTCAACAGGGTAATGCTGTGCAGGTTATTTTTTACAGTTATCAGGGATGGTATACTAGCGTGAAGTGAAAGACTCGCAGGAGGTTCACCGAAGTCTTAACATCATCCAATAAACATTCGCAAAACACTGTATATGCTTCGTCGAAAGTACTCAACAGTAGAAGTTCACTAGAACAGTCTGAGTCAAATGACATGCTCACCAATACCTACACAGTTGTCAAAATGATCTTTAAATCATTCATCACGCCTATGTTTTTTCAAACTTGGACTTAACTGAGAACTCTAGCGCTATCAAGTTACAGAATCATTTCCACTTAAGTCCTTTACTTGGTCTTATTTCCTTTGTTTTAGCCAAACATTTCATTGTGCTCAACAATTTAATTGCCCAGATCTGGAAACACAGAAACATAAATGGAAATCTGACATGATTACGATCAGGATGATTACGAAGCTTTTAAGCAAACCCTCGGGCTAACCGATTGTTCCAAATATTTGAAAAATCAAGATAAATGGTAAAATGATTATCTGAAATTGAAATAATCTAAACTACTGGCTTGTTTCCAAACTGTGTAATCACTGCGCTGATCATGTTTCGTAGCCGATAGCGGTGCCGTCATTATTCCCAGATCTCTGCAATTTATCATGACCACCAGAAATGATGGCTCAAATTTGGATAGTGAGTAAAACAAAAAACAAAAAAAGAAAACAAGTTTTCTGAAAGGCTTCCACTGTCTCCCTTTTTACTCTGTGTTCAATAAAGAAGGATGTCACTCATCATTAGAGAGCACTTAGATGAGCAAAAACAAAATGAAAAAAACTCTTTTCGAGAAACTGAAACATTAGCGTTTACTGCTGCTTTTTTTTTTCACTCAAATGAAGGTTGAGTTTGAAAAAAAGAAAAAAGAACTGTGCTTCATGTGCTGCTGATCTTTTGCAGGCTCGCGTGCTGGCTACCATCGGGGTCACGAGAGGTCTCGGCGACCACAACCTCAAAGTGCACGACTCCAACATTTACATTAAGCCCTTCCTGTCCTGCTGCCCAGAGGTATGCACCGTTTTGAATTTGATCTTTCACCAGGTCCCTCCTGGGGCGGCACTATGCCGTGGTGGTTGTCTCGCTGCGCAGCAAGAAGGTGCAGGGTTCAGCTGGGACCTTTTGAATGCATGTGTGGGTTTCCTCTGGGTCCTCTGAATTCCTCCCACGGTCCTGAAACATTACAACATGCATGGCAGCTCTAAATTGCCTGTAGGTGTGAATGTGAGCGTGAAACCTGTCTGTCTGTATGTGTCAGGCTGGCAACATGTCCAGTCCCCGGAGGGTTTTAAAATGATGTGAAAAAGGAAGTACATTCCTTGCAAACCGTTGGCTTTATTGACGTATCTGGACAAACTGTTAATCCGCTTTGAAACAGCACCTAAAGAGGAAGGAAATACATATTAGCCACAGGGGTTTAGCTTTTTTAATCATTTAGCCATCAAAACTATATATATAATAGAAAGTAACTACACCTTTGGTCACAGAGGCTGTTATAACCCCCTTTAGCCAAAATTACTTCTTGCAGGTGTTCTGCACACGTGTCCATCAGTGCTGAAATTTTTTAACCAGTCCTGCAGAATTCCTACATTTGTAAGAGGTTTTCTTGCATTTCTTGCATATTTCAAATCCCACACAACACTATAATTGGATTCAAATCTAGATTAGGCCATTCCACAACCTTCCTTTTCTTCTTTTTCAGCCATTCCTTGGTGGATTTGCTAATGGGCTTTAGCATAGTTATCACGTTAAAAGGTCCACTTCAACCTTCCCTTTCAGACAGATGGCTTCACATTAACTTCAAGCATTCTTTGATATGATGCAGAATTCATAATTGGATCAATGACTGCCCAGTCTCTAAGGGAAGCAACTCCAAGCCATTACATGTCCACCAACGTGCTTCACAGTTGTACGAGTTTCTTCTCCTGAAAAGCTGATGTTCTGCACCTAACACGTGATTGTGGCTAAATAACTCTGTGATTCCTCTGTTCAAAGTAAAGAATCCTAAAGACCTACTCTTTGCTTGCACATTCACTGGAAAACTGTAGTCTTTCTCTATTGTTTTGTTGTTGTTGTTGTTGTTTTTTAATAGTAAAGGCTTTTTCCTGGCACGTCTCCCAGTCAGGGCAAAGGCATGCAGTCTCTTTGTGATTGTAGACGCAGCACTCTGACATCAGCAGCTGCACAGTTACCTGCAGATCCTGTGATAAAAAAAAAAATCTGGCGGTCTTGGAAACTTCATGTTGCATCAGACGCTCCGCTCTTGGGCTGAAATTGCTGGGGCGGCCAGTTCTGGACAAACTCCAGTCATTTGAAAGCTGCACCACTTGTAGATGATTTCCTTCACAGTGGAAAGATTCATTTCAAATAATTTGGAGATCTTTTTTCAATCCTTTGCCAGACTCAGACATCCACAACCTTTTTTTTTTTTTTTTCTAATGGCCTTGGGGAGCTATTTAAATCAATGACACCACAAACTTCAATAGCAGAGAGAACAGTAGACCTGAGATGCCAGAGGTTTAAATGAAACTGGACCCACCTGTCACTGCCTAAGGAGGCTCTAACAGTCATCTAATCTAAAACCCTCATTTCAGGTATATAGATCTGAAAGTGTGACAGATTTACCTACTTCATCTGTTTCACTGAATGGTTATTTTTCAATTCATTTAAAATCTAAAAACAACCTTGTCGGTGATGTCTCAAAGAAAATCAAGTGTTTTCTTGTTAAATAGGTTTTTAAAAAAAAAACTCAACAATTTCCACTTGCAATTTTCACATGGATGCCACTAGTGGATTCTGTCCTCTTTCACAATGTGCAGACAAAATAACATTCCTTACTTCCATTATTCTTTTGAGTTTTAATACTTGGAATAAACTAAGTTTTGGTGATTTACTCGTTTTTACTTGCTTCCTCTTCTCAGACACCTTCACTTGTCAGTTTACACTATCTATCCATCCTTTAGACAAATTACATAAACTTGTTGCTGACAAAAAGGTGGGTGTTTGGGTACACAAATACAGGATGATGCACACAGAGCCCTTCTTGCGGCACATATACTGGTATTACTTGGACTATTGGTGAGGAAATCTGTGCCTCCTCCTCTCTGGATTTGTTCCTGTGTGATTGTTAAATGTCCAAAAAGTAAGTTTGTCTCGAAAAGTAAAGTTGCATCGGAGGGCCGGAACCTCGTGATTCTCATTGTTAGTATTTCTGTTATCAAACTCAGTCGTTCCGAACATATATTCATAACCGATCATCTGCATTTGAGCATTTATTTATGCAAATGGGAAGAAAGAAAAAAAATGTTAAAAAGTAAACTGGGGTCATCGATGGCAGCGCATTAACAGCGCTGCAGTGTTTTATGATGGATCTACAGTTTTATTTCACCTCATAATCGTGACCTCTTGATAAAACGAGAGCACGGAGGTAACGATGTAAAATGCCTCTGGCCATTAGCAGTCAACACTGTGAACTGTGTGGTCAGCATGCACATTAACATTCCCCGCTGGCCATCGCCCTCAAATGACCCCTTTCCTTCTGCACATGATTGCAGTAGTCACGAAGCCCATGAATTCTCTTGATCTTTAATTCATCGCCCTCCGAGTTCAGTCATAGTTCAGGATCCTTTTTGATGTTTCGCCTGAAATGCTTGTAGTCTCTATTGTTTCAGATGGAGTATAAACACATTAGCGGTATGTGGGACATGTCGTATCTGAGCACAGCATTAGGTGGGAGGTGGGAGAGGGCCCTGCAGGGATGTCAAGTTGGAATTACCGATTTCTCTAGAAAAAAGGCTGGAAAAAAAAAAAAAAAGCTGACCTTGGCAGATGGAGTCATTATGGCGTCAAATATGGGTGCTGGGTTAGAAATCAAAAGCTTGTGTCGTCACCTTTCTCCCAGAGATATTCTGTCGCTGAAATCTCTGTTGAGAATTTGACTCGAGGAGGTGCCGTCTCTTTCATGGATTGATAGTCTCGCTCATTTTCTCTCTTGACTTGTGTCACGAGGTTTACCACAAAAGAGACTCATGATCCACGCGGAGGTCATTCTAATTCTTTTACAACTGCTTTCACAGGCGCCGTGTGCGGTGCTGTTTTCACAGTAGCCTCTGCAGTAAGTCGGTGTGTCTGCTGTGAATAAGCAACTCCCCCACAGTAGCAAAGGAATTACTTGAAGCAACCAAACAAAGGCAGTGCAAGGCCACTGTACATTCTTTTTGCTTGCTATTTCAGAGCACGCTTTTGTTCAGCCATAGTAATTTCAAAGATTGTGCCTCTCAAGAGTTGCCACAGTAACATGAGGATGTCTTTACTCAAGAATATCTTGGAAAGGATTGAAGCTGACAACAGCTGAAAGGGATCGAGAGGAAGATGTGCTGAGAAAATGGGAAATGAATAGTTGGTTCACCTAAATGAAGAATAGAAACATATCTTCTCTCTTACTTAGTGGTTTCTAGATATAGAATAGAATGAAACTTTATTGATCCGTTTGGTGTAAACCTCAGGGAAATTGTTGTACTAGAAAAACAACACAACACCAACACAACATCAGCAACAACAGTAACAACAACAGTAATAATAATAAGAACACTGGATACAGTAACAAAATTTGCCAAAGTGCCTAAATATTGCACACAGTCCAATGTCCTCACTCCTCACCCCTCGCTCCCTACCTCTCCCCACAGATATGCACATAGTTTTGGTTTTGCTTGCAGATATTTTCAGGTATCCATAATGTTTGTAGAGATGTCAGCAGTGTTTGTGGTGTAGCATGTCTTTTTCAATACACATTCCTTTACAGTATATGTCTTGCATTCGACAGTTTTAATTGAAACCACGTTTTTTTTACAGAGGAAATAATGTTTATGAAAACTGTGGACAGTGAGCTCTGTGACTTGTCATCTATTTTTAACCTCGCCAGCTGTGTGTCTCAGTCAAGCGGAAATTTTCGCTGAAAAATAAAGCCAATGTGTAATTGCCAAAAACTGCAGTTCCTCAAATGTCCACTTGAGGCTGGCACCATCAGACAGACAACCAAGCACACTCACATTCACACCTATGGACAATTTAGAATCACCAATTAACCTCAACATGTTTTTGGACTGTGTGGAAGGAAGCCAGAGAACCCAGAGAGAACCCACGCTGCACGGGGAGAACATGCAAACTCTATGCAGAAAGATCCCGGGTGTCCGCACCGGGACGCGAATCGGCAACCTTCTTGCTGTGAGGTCATGGTGCTAACCACCAAGCCACATTGCTGGCACCCAAAATCGAGTTAATCCCCATAGACCGCCATGTTATAATGCACAAATTGACAGCAGAAACAAAAATGTTTACAACCAAGTAAAGAAACGATTTTGGTCTCTACAGGCTACTTCTTTTATTTTGAGGCACTACTGCCAGTGCCACCTTTATTCTTTTAGACATGTAATTGATCTTCATTGCAACATTTTCCTGTAAAGTGCTACGTGGGCTTGTTTTTACCATTTGTGCTGTTGGCTTTGTGGTAATACTTTATTCAAGAGAAAAAAAGAAATATCTTGTGTATAGCTTCCGAATAAGGATAGGGTTTTGTGCTGATAGGTGAGCATATGTCAGGTTTGACATTATTGTTCACCGCCACGCGATGTTGTGTGAAGTGTAGCAAATTAGCATCTATAAGGTAATGCATTACTTTTTTATTAAGTGAAGTCAAGTATATTACTGTTTTTGAGTAATGACCCCAATTTTGTGTAGACTTCATTTTGACACTTTCAAATTGCGAAAGCGCTACATAGTCAAAACATGCTTAGAATTAGTATGTTGTAGAATCAAACTTAATAAGTTCTCTTACTGTCTCATCGTACCCTTTAATGCTAGCGATAACATTTTACGCAAAACTCTCAGGAACGTTTTTTTTCCCCTTCACCTTTAGGTCAGAGTTTACCCATTAGCGCAGTGCGAGCATGGAGCCGATGACGTTCTGGTGCTGGGAACTGACGGTCTGTGGGACGTCCTCTCCAACCAGGAAGTAGCCGAAGCCGTCACCTGTTTCCTGGCGAACTGCGACCCCGACGACCAGCACAGGCACGTTCACTCATCAGCAGCAGTCGGCAGTCAGAGCTGAACTTCCTCTCACCCCTCGTCTTGTTTGGAGAAGATGAACATTGTTATCTTGTTGCAATTATGCAAATTTCTAAACATTTAGATAAGTCATTTCTCTGATGTCTAGGAAAAGCTTGTGAGACTATTAGCGGGGCGCTCTGTCGCTTCTCCTCCTGTGAGCTCTGTTTCCAAAGTTCACCGTCATATTTTCTGACTTTCTGTTGCCACCTGACTGCATGCAGATGTGCTTAGTCAGACGTTGTGCAGAATTATTATCTGATCTGAACATTTATCTGATTAAGTATCACCACCTTAACCATTTATCACTTCTGTTGCATCAGGTACACAATGGCAGCTCAAGACCTGGTAATGAGAGCGCGGGGGGTGCTGAAGGATCGAGGCTGGAGGATATCCAACGACAGATTAGGCTCCGGAGATGACATCTCCGTCTACATCATTCCCCTCATGTACGGCAACAAGCAGAACTAGCCAAGCTACGAAAAGACAACAACCGCCACAGCAGCGTAACCCCGTCTCCCCGTCTCCCCCTACCAACTTCACTTCTGCAGTTTCCCTCCTCTCCTGTTCTCTTTTAAAAGTGCTTTAGTGTGGACTTCCTCCTTTGCTGAGGGATCCAAGCTGTTCCTGGTCAGAGATATGGAATTTCTGGCCAGTTTCTTCTTGATCATCCTCAATTAGGGTGATCTTTTTTTTGACTGCTTCCTTTTTTTATAGAAAAAAAATTGAAAAGTGGGGTTTTATTTCAGTCTCGAGGAAGCCATCGTGAACTTTGTTGCGGGGCAACAGCTGAGGAGCCTGGACTCTGGTAGACGAGATGATGACGTGCATCTCAGGATTGCTGTTAGTAACTAATGCACATTATTTATAAATGTGAAAAAAAAAATGTAAATATTCCGAGACGTAAGACATTTGATAAGTGTTTTCAGTTGAACACCTGTACAGTGTAAACAAAAAAACTACCCTGAAGGCTGATGTCCTGTATATATTAATTGTTCCTCCTCTGTTCCATGTAGGTTTTTAATTAACGTTAATTCCGTTAGTCATCGTTGTAGTCACCTGTTGAAAGGTCAAAAACAAAAATCTTACGAGCCTTATCTAGACTGTTGGTTGTCATCACGCTGCAGGTGTTAGTTTTGTTCATTTGTACCCTTTGCACTGCGACACTTCGCTCACCGTCAAAGCAAAACTGCTTCCGTTGAAAATGAAGAAAACCCACTTATGAAGAATTCACCAACACAAGGATCCACCGTCAAGGTTTTGGCTACATGAGACCAAGAAGTCTTTCTGCTGCACTCGTTCTCCACCAGCCTCCGAAACGTCTTCCTTTTATTCTAATTGAGACATGTTGTCATTGTCCTGTTTAAGTGGCGGTCTGCATGCTACGTCAGGTGTATTATCGCCTGCTACCTGTGCCATTATCAACTTGCATTGTCACACTTTATGTATAAAAGTCAAACCTTTCGTCAGACATGTTGCCCCCCCATTAAAAGAAACTGATCCTCATGAATAACCGGTGCCTCTAACAATACTCTGATCTGTAACGTCATTTCAAGTGTAAAAAACTCTTGCCAGTTAAATGGACAACTCTTACCTTACGTGTCTCTACAATCAATACTGTTCTCTGATTCAGTGGTTTTCCACATTTTAGTTAATCTCGATGTTACTATTTTTATCTTAACTGCTGTACAAGTGACTGAAGCTAATGGAACAGAGTAACTCAATGTACAAAATGTAAATACCGTTTTCAGTGGACACTTCCCTCCTTTCTTTTATTGTAAGCTGATGTACATCTTACCGAAACCAAAACCCGTAATTTGTACTGTTTTAGAAACATAGAAACAGTGTAAAAAAAAATGGTTTAAAGGCTCACTTTTCTGCTCTATTAAAAAAAAAGACCGTTTCTGACCTTTTAACCGCCTTTTTTTCTCCCTTTGCTCTGCTGTGTCATTGATTTTTTTTTAAAACATGGGTGTAATTGTGAAGTACAGAGGAAAATACGATAGGAGAAGTTGATTGAGCTTGGCTCAGGAAAAGCAACAGAAACATTACTCAACATTCAGGCCAACGATTGGCGTCTATAGTGGTTTCTAATAAAAACGTATAGAATCTTACAATGCATATCATTTTCCCAAAATGAGATTAAGTTAACTTAATTAAACTTAACTTTAAGTTATATTCCTATCTACAGCACTGTATATTCTGGAGGTTTTTAAAGAGGGATTTGTTCATGCATCACTTGAAGCCTGACTTATGTAACCTTTTATTCCTAAAATCGTGGCTAAAACTGATTTATTTTTTATTTTTTTAAATCATTTATAGCTTTTGATAAGATTTTCTGATTAATGGAGTGATTTTTAAAAAAAAAAAAAGATGGCTCATAATGTCAGCAAAATGAAACAAGAATTTTGAAGCTGGCTTTATTTAATAATCAGGGTTCTGCAAATTAGAACATATTTTCATAAATAACCCCTAACTTGTATCATCAAACATAAAAATTCAAAAAATTAGCAATGTTAAATTTGAAAAAAACAAAAAAAAACAAAGTCCTATCATAAGTAATCAGCTGGGAAAGTTATTGTTTACCCTGTTTACCTGCAGCAGTGTCTGCCCTTAATGAAATAATTGTCAAGCACTGAGTTAAACTGCCATTTAGATGCAATTAAATTCTCTGTGTGCAAATATTTGTATGTAAAATCTGAAGAATGTTACAGGAACTGTTGGCTTGAATGGAGCAGACTCTCCTTCACTACAGCAACTGTGAAGAATAAGACCATCACCGCTCTGACAAACTGTGTCAAGTGAGTCCCGAAGCAAAACGTGGATGAAGGGTATTAGTTCACAGAATAGCCTGATAGAATGATAGATTTCACGGTGCAGGCTGCTCCAAGGGGTATTATTTGACACCGAAGACACACACACACACACACAAGTAATACAAGAAACTTGGTAATTTGACAAAAGAAAACTGCACGTCTCCCTGTTTTTGATTGTTCTTTCTCTTTAATGTCTCACATAAATAAGTCCAAGTGTGTTAATGTGAGACCAAGAAAAGCAGGTGAGGAATGAAAAGGAATATGGCTCCCTGGTTTTTTCAGTAAGACTTGTGCAATGCTGGAGTCCTGCAGATATGATGCAATACCAAATACTCGGAATACCCCAGAGACCGAAGATGTAAATCAAGTCTCGGGATAAAGCCTTCATAGTTCAACATGACAGGAGAATCTGATGAAAAGAGATGCATTCCAGAGCGAGAAGAACGAGGAAATCTGATCGGCCCTTTGACACGAGACAACGTTACCTCGTAAACATATGGAGGGGGTGATACTGGGAAAACTTTCAAGGGAGATACAGTCCAGTGCACGACCACAACCCACTATGGCCTAATAATAAACATGAAGTACAATCATCACCCTTTTCGATGTAAAAAATAAAATATAGAGGCTTTGTGAAAGTGGAATTTATGGAAGAAGTGTTGTGGTGGATTGCATTTCATGTCACAGTGTACCTAATAAAAAGGCCAGTGGGTATATATCTGCTATTCTCAAATGTCAAGTGTGAATCTTCATGTTAGTTTTAGTACTTTATGGTGGATTTATAGTCTTTGGATTGGTTTATAGTCGGTGTTTTATTGACTATTAGCATGAAACCGAGGCGGCATAATGTACTGCTTAACGCTGAAAGAGCCGTTTGTCTGTTTGTCAATCAAGGTTAAACAAAAAAATCAAATTCTCTGAAACTTGGTGAAGAGAGAACCCAAAAAAAATAAAAATAAAAATTGGGATGAATTAAACTTTGTGGCAGATCTGGATCACTTCCTTTAAAACTGCAAGACACAGCGTTGGCCTTGGCAGAAGACTCAACTCTCTCTTGCTTTTTTTTTTTTAGTTCCCATCTTTTTCTGCAGTAACATGTCAAAATGGCCCCTATGTCAGGGCTATCAAAAACACTCCAGCTCTTGCCTTGAAAATTATAGATCAAGGCGTACAAAGCATTGATAGCTTACTGTTTTTGCAGACAAAGTTTAAGGTCACTGAAAATTGACCTTTTGAACAACTAGGGGAGAAGACTTTCAGAAACTGTTTGCACCGTTGCCTTGTAAACAGGGAAAACTGAGTTTTGTTTTTTTTTGCTTTTGATGTCAGCGTGTGTGCAGATATCTCCTTTGTTTACGCAATTTTGTGAAGTGGTGCATGTGTCCAAAACACACACATTAATGTAGTTACTCATCCATGGTGCTGAAGACCAGATGCATTAGAATCAGTCAACACATATGATTCCAGCCTCCCTTAATGCACCATCGTTGGTACTCTACCAGAACACTGTATTTTTTTTTCCAGGCTTCTATTGGCCAACACGAGCTTCAGTGTTAGTGATATATGAGCGCCTGTTGGCTTGGCACGCTCCTGATAACGCTTTAATTGTTTTGTTTTTTTGCATTTTCACGTGGACTAAGCCCAGATTTCATGCAGTCCACACACATTTAATTGGTATCAATGAGCTTAATCTGTGAGGCTGTTTGCACCTGAGACCAATTCATAAGCACTGCTGAGCAACACCGTTTATTATTTACAGCGAATGTTGACTTCATTTTAAAAAGTAAACAAGGTTTTGTGGCATTGTCCATTCATAAAACCAAGTGCTTTATTTTTATGTTGTTTTGTTTCTTCATTATTGACCTGTTTCTGTGATTTTATTATAATTTCCTTGTATTTTCCAGTAACATTTGGACACTATAGTCCCTAAAATAAAGCTGAATGAGTAAATGGATGGCAAATAAACAGTCTGAAGGACAACAGAGCAGTGAGTCAGGAGAGGTTTACGGACCACAACACTTTTAATCACTTGTAAAGATCAGGATATTCAAGTATTACATACACGTATACCTTTGTGAATGCTTTTACACACATTCAGAGGAAGATAAAGTGCTGCCGTGGGAGTCTCACACTCTTGGGTGCTCTGCAGGAGCTGCAGGGCCATCTGGTCCCCACAGGCCAGCGTCGCATCCTCCTTCAGTCAGGCCAGCACTGATCTGGCACTCCACTCCCACTCTCCACACGTGTGTGTGCGTGTGTGTGTGTGTGTGTGTGTGGTCCAGATTGGATGACGGCAATGATGAAACAATCATTCCTGTGGGTGGCTTGTTTTTCCAAGGTCACAGCACTCCCACCCCACCCATGGATAGATCTGAGGGAGATGCTGAGCAGGCTTGGACCGAGATACTCATCTCCTGTAATGGAAAGGTGGCACGTCGCTTCACTGCAGTGCAACATGGGAGAACGGAGGCCACAGCCTTGAAGCCTCCTTTCAGAGGACAAAAAATGCTTTTAAAAAAAATATCTATATTATTTTTGACATAGGTTTATTCCTTTCTTCCAAATAGTGCTGCAAGACACCATCACTTTTTTGTGTTATTCATCAAATCTATGAAAAGCAAAAATAAACAAATACATAAACAAAATTGTGAAAATGCTCATTACTGATCCAAAGCCAAAGAATATTACATTTATATAATCACATAAAAAACAAGTAAATGCAAATGTTTGGGGGGGAAATGACTAAAATGTAATTTTCAAAACAGTGGCCAAATAATTTCTTACTAAATATTTCCACTCTCCTTGTTGGTGTTAATTATTTTCAGACTGCTCAATCATTTAGTGGAAAAATTCTAAAAGATTACACAATTTATAATCACAGCTATTACAGGCAGGTTGCTTTAAACAAACATGAATCAGCAACAGTTGATTTATCAAGTTATGTCTCAAGTAATAATCCCAAACATTTGATTGGGTTGTTAAATGTGTGCATTTCTCAGTCTTACATTCAACTATTTAGAATGATCTAAACAAAGAAAAGCTCAGGCAGCACGTGTGAAGCTACTTGATGACACAGAAAGCCCACATGAGGGTGGACCGTCCTGTTAGGACAAAGGTGCGGCTGCTGCAGCTGTGATACCCATCTGAGGGGGCAGATTTTCCACAAGAGGCTCTAATTTACTGCTCTGGGGCTTCGGCTGCCTCGAGTATGATTTATCTGCAGCCCAGCTCGAATGAAAGCTTCGACACAAGATGGATGGGAGGACACAGTGTAGGCTGCCTGTGCGCTGCTCGCTGATCCATAGGCTGGCTCTCCTTACAGTCAGGATATGATAAATGATGTTTGGCTTTTCCCCCGGAGGCCGGATTACTTGTATTTCTTACACGAGACAGACACTTATTTGAATATAATGCAGACCTGTAGGAGCTCTGCTCAACAGGAACAATCGGTGGTTTATTTACTAGTGTGTCTCTTTTTCTTTTTTTTTGCAAAGAAAAGAGTGTTTCTTTTGCAACCTACGTGTCTCCACCATGAGTAGCAGGAGTAAGAATGCATTGTGTAATATCAGCACAGATGCTAGTGGGCAGAACTGTGGCCCAGGATGAACATAACTCCATCATAACACACTATCAAGTGTGAACTCATAAATATTTCATGGGGAGTCTTCTTGGAAGGTCAAAGCAGGATTCAATCTTCAGTGAGTGAGCTGCCTGCTCTGAGCTGGGCTGTGGGGCAGGACTGCTGCAGCCCCCTGCACGATCTCATCGACTCAGTGCTGCCAGCCAATCAAAGCTCATTGTACATTCTGGTCGCCACCCCCATCACGAGACCCCCGACGGCTCCATCCTAATGTGCTCCAGAGCAGCCAGATGCTGCCGGGCAGCCGAGGGACGATTTCAAAAGGTTAACTCGCAAACGCATGACCGACATCAGCACTGAGAGGAGGACGCCGCTGCTCCACACGGCCGTGGGGAGGGATGGAGGAGGGGAGGGGGTCAGGTCATGTGTTTGTGGACACACAAGAAGAAGAAGATTTAGCATAATAAGCAGATGATCGCGCGAGCAGTGCGGGCAGGATCCATGTCCGCGCTCTGCGTAAAAAGAGGCGTTCAAGTGCAG